GACTACGATTGTAATAAAGTATTTTGGAACAGTTGATGTACAACAGCATGACTTGAATGTATGTAAATAATAAAACAAATGGATGATGACTTAACTTAGGGGGGAGGAATTGTAATGTATTGAAACGATTACATGAATCACCTCATAGGACTCCCATGTTAAGCTTCGAGCCAGGCCAGGGCTCCTCTGAGCGAACTTCCTATTGGTCGCTTCGTAACAGCGACCAATCAGAACGGTACCATTCCCTAGGAGGGAAAGACTCCCATTGGTCTTTATTCTAGCAATCTCATTGGTTGTTATTTGTAAATAGGCGTGGCTACATTAGCCCGGTTATGTTTAAAAGGAGCATAGGCTCCCACTGTTTTCTGTTCTGGTTTCTTACTGAGTTGAGTGCTTGTTCGTTACTTCCAATAAAGCTGAATCACTTGCTGAATCACTCTAAGAGTCCTTTGTTAGCGCGATCTAACAAGAAGAGAGTAAGCAAAGAGGAGAGGGGGAGTCTGGAGCAGAGACTGAGGTCTCGTTCGGTGTCACAAGCAAGCCACAACTTGTTTGTGTTGTGAACAAGCCTCAGATCCTTATTCCATCTCTCCTCCCGTCAGCGTGTATCTACAGTTGAGAGCTTGATGATTTTGTAAGTCTTTGATCTAACTCCAATTTGTCTTGAGTACGAAATTTTGCTGCCTCGACAAATGGGGGTGTGTTTATTTCCAGTAGCCAGGATTCTAAACCCGGTGTAATCCTGGTTTTGAATCTTGTTTACTGGGAAAGAAGCAAAAGCCAGGAAGTCACAAGGTGGGTGTGTGCAAGCCCACAGGTTTGAGGCTTGTTTGTCTCACAAACCAAATAATTGTTTGATATATCCGAACACAGCCCAGAGTGCAGGCAGGTAGTGGAGCTAATGAAGATTTTCCGTATTCTTTTGAATGGAGAAGTGCTCCTTCGCATAAGATCACATCAGTACTGAAAGCAGGTTGAAGTAAGCTTGCTTTCATTCAGGGTTTTGTTGAGTCCATATCTGCGTGCTTGCATACAGTTGCTGTTAACTGCCAATATTAACAGTTGTCAAAACAGCAGGGAATTGAATTGCCATACATCTAGCCCTTAATGTCTTCGCCTCAGGTACTTGTTAGATATGAATTTCATGCCATTGGATGTACAGCCATAAAAATCTTAATGGAATACACTGTGATGGAATGTTGAGAATAACATACACAGGAGTCACCTTGAGTGCACAAGGTCTGCCATAATTCAACATTCACCGTCTCACCCATCTTTTTTCAGGATTTTTCCCCCCTCAGGCATTGATCTTAAAGTTTTTTTTTAAAAAAAAGCATTTGCTCTTTAGTATTCATCCATTTATTTATCTCCACAGACGAGGAGCCCGAAGCTGTCTCAAAGCCCACAACCCAACTTGGGAGATCAGGCAGAGTATTTGTCAGAAGCATCTGCCGACTCTCTCGAAATCATGTCTGAAGGAGAGTCCCCTACACCTTTCTCAAGAGGAAGCCGTACACGAGCGAGCCTGCCAGTGGTGAGGACGACAAACCAGACAAAGGAGAGATCCCTTGGTAAGCCGTTACACCAAGCTAATACTGCCCCCTTCTTAGGCTTCTGTTGCTGGCTGTTCCCTGTTTATATTTGCCACCAAATTTTGTTCAGCATGAAAGAAATGGAAAAACTGACATGCCATAATCTCTTGTTAAGCACGACGGCCCCGGCTCTGTGAGACTAGACTTCATATTCTTTCTTTCTTGTCTGTCTGCTATGTTTCTCCCTAGTGGGGACCCAAAGTAGCTTACAATACAAAAATACACTGTTAACAAACAGACTGGGGGAAAGGCTTTCAGGTGCAGGGCAGGCCTCACTCTCTCCCTCTGGCTTCCCCCCTCTTTGCCGGCACATCTTTCTCCCAGCTCCAGGCACCATTGACCTCCTGGCCACCTCAGTCTCAAAGGGGTTGCCTGCAAGAAAGGAATGCGAAAAATGCAGGTTCTTACAATAGCCAACTGGTGTTGCAGATCCTTCTGCCTTTTAGCTGTTTGTTGACTGGGAGGCCTCAAGAAACCACATTTCAGCCTGTCAATTGAAATAATGATGAACGTTTCATCTTATGGAGGAGGAAGCAGAGGTTCCAAAGCAGTGGTGGGCATTGTCTACTTGGAACTTTTTTTCTGCCTCTTCTTCTAGAGCAGTTGACCAGTAAATGAGTCCTCTTGGTAGCTGGGTGGAGCTGTGCAGGCTGGCATAAAGTGGTTGGTGTCCATGGCGCCCCCTACAGGCTCAGCCCTCCTCCGCCACTGCCCACTCTGCACATTGTTGCATACCAACATAAGAAGCTGTTTTGTAAAGAGGCAGAATATTTTTCCCATTCAGCCAATATTCTCTGCTTTGACTCGCTGCAACTCTCAAGTCTTTCCCAACCCTGCAACTTGAGATCCTTTAGCTAGAGATTTCAGGGACTGAAACTGGGACAATCTGTGCGCGACGCACTGCAGAACAATTGTCCCTCCAAAGGGCTACTGGCCCCGACTACAAATTGTTAGTATAGATTTTGACCAGTTCTCCTCATGGAGGCTTGGAATTGAAAGGGGCCTTATAGACTCAAATTCAGGAAAGGTAAAGATAGAGGATTCCCAACAGATGGCTGTCTGACCTCTACTTGAAGTCTCACAGCAAGGGAGAGCCCACCACTGTCCTGAGTAAGTGGTTCCATTGTTGAAGTCTTCTCACCAAAGAAGCTTCCTCCAACGTCCAGCCAAAAGGCATCCTTCAGTAACTAGCCCATTAGATGTAGCTTTGTCCTCTGCAGCAGCAAAGAACCAGTCTTCGCTCTCTTCCATGGGATGACAGCCTTTAAGTAGTTGTCACTTCTTACTTGACTTGATCCAGATTGAATTTTCCAGTGGCAGAATGCAGCTCCTGCTGCAGTTCACTGGGGCTTAGGGGACCCAGAGGATTGACAGGAGAGGTGTTTGAAGTGGGAAGGAGAATGAGTGGAAACTGCCAGTTTAGTTTGGATTCAACCCAGTGAATCTGTGTGGCCCCAGAACCCCAATTCCCTAATGTATTCTATAGCTGTCAATGAGCAGTCAGAGGGGAATGATTCATTGCCCAGTCTTCTAACATTCCCCCACCCACCCCCGCTAATCTCAAAGTAACTGTTCTTGCCATTGGCCGACTCCATTTGGTAACAGATTTAGGAGGAGATGGATTTTCTTGGCAAATGCTGCCCTGAGATGGGCAGACAGTTGTGTTATAAGCCAAGGTTACCGGTTGCTGCGGAAGGGAAAGGGTTATTGCTATAGTGGTATGTTATTTTGGTTGATCTTAATAAAAGGTATAGCATGGCTTTTGCTGTAGTGTAGCTTCTCTTCTGCAGGAGTCCATCTCCCAGCGTGCAAAATATCATAAAGCAAAAAGACTGAGTCATAAATCACAGGGATGCTCATAAACTGAACATAGTGGTTTATTTGTTCTGTTAACAATCCCAGACCATTTTTATCAGGAGTGCTTTGATATCTGATACATAATCTTCTTTTCTTTTAAAAAAATACCAAAAAATATTGAAGTGACAGGCAGTTTGTACTGGCTTCTGGAGCCTACAGAGACCAGGGATGATAAATCAAGATGGGTAGCTGGGTTAGTCTGTCTGTAGCAGTAGAAAAGAGCAAGAGTCCAGCAGCACCTTAAAGACTGACAACATTTGTGGGAGGGTATGAGCTTTTGTGAGACACCGCTCACTTCTTCAGATACTCTGAGCAAGTGAGCAGTGACTCATGAAAATTCATACTCTGCCACAATTTTTTGTTAGTCTTTAAGGTGCCACCGCTCTTTTCTGCAGGGATGATGAAAAAATTAGTATTCCTGCATATTAGTTTGCAGCAATCTGCTTGCATTAATGCTTTGACTCCTGCT